GCCTAAAATAACTCTTGTAGCGAAATATTTCTGAACCAGTTGTAACTTATGTATATTATCCTTAGTTGTGTTCCCCCACACAGTGGAACAATAAAATAATTTAGTGAATAYGAAACTGTTAATTAATAATGATAACGTTTGCTTATCTTAAAGGCGCTTAATCCTATAATTATTGCTACTAATATTGGTTCATTATAAGTAAGGCATTGGTCTATAGAAACGCTAAGATCCTTAGCAACAGAAACAGGAGTGATGGTTTTACCTAATAATGTAAGAGAAATCGGAGGCAGCTTCTTAGTAAGTTGTTTTAAACTAACAACTACTAATTTTGTTTTATCAGGATTTATAAGCAAAGAACATTGAGTGCACCAATAAGCCTTTTCATAGTTTAAGAATTAATTCCACTGCCCATTCGATTTTATCCCGAATTTCTCACCTTCTTTTGTTTAATTAAGAACAAAAGAGGGTTTAGACAAAAGAAGGTGAGAATTTTGGGATAAAATCCATGCGCAGTGGAATCGATTCTTAAACTATGAAAAGGCTTATTACTTATACCCTTTAGATCATTATTAATCTGCCATTCCACCAATAAATATTCTTCCTGGTCATAAGAATTAAACTATTAACTAATGGACACACCCTACAGCACACCCACACCCCTCCCATTTGATCATCCCCAAAATGTAAATATTCCAACAATTCAAAAATGTAAATAAACAATAAAMAATAACCAAACAACAAAGTGAAATCCAAAATTTWAAATTTTGGCAAGGGTAAAATGAGCYCTAAACACCCAAATACTCAAATCATTGAGGTGTAAAGCTAAATCGCCTCYAATGTTTTGTGCATWAAACTTATATATATACTTAGCTTTTATTCTATCAATGCTCCCACATTTTCTAATGCGATGTTCATATAATTWTATTAATGATTATTAAACCCTTTCTCATTTAAATCTATTTTTTCATTTAACATTTTTATTTCGTAGAAGTCACGGAAACTGTGCTGGAGCCTTGATATTTCCCCTTTTTTCAACACTTAAGAAACGAAATAAGAATAAAAACAACACATAATTGAAAGCCTAAGATGCCAATTAAGAAGAAAAGACAACTTTTAGCATTGAAATACCTGATTCATGCCGGCATTGGCAAACAGTAAGGTAGGATCATCATGAGGAATGGTCGATGAAGAAGGCACAAACACGTGTTGATTGTTCTTGACAAAGAAATCAATAAATATCTGACGGATCTGATTCCCYGTTAATGAATTATCCATCCTTTTAGCTCCACAGAGAAGACGTTTTTGGATTCCTAGGGTTCGATTTGAATAGCAGGATACCAGAATTTTCCGGCTTATTCGAYTGAATAACATTCAGTGGAGGGAAAAATCTGATGAAATTCGTACACTTTTGTACTTAACCGCTGGTTTATTGAAGCACAGGCTCGATAATACACAGGGTGACCAAGCACTATATTGATACCTTTAGGTGAAAATATTGGGGGAAAATTAATAAATTTCATTGCAAATTTAAGGAGAAATAGAAACTTAAATTATTTCCATTACCTTTTTTAACAAGATGGTTTAAAGTTACTAAATTACAACTTTACACTAAATGTATACTTTCATTTCAGAATGAGAGAGAGAGAGAGAGAGAGAGAGAGAATGTGTGTGGGTGAGAGTGAGAGGACTAGTATAGCTTAGGACCTAGGATTAGAACACGACCACATCAGCTACGCTGTATATAACTTATCGTGTATAAATAAATATTATTATTATTATTATTATTTATAAAGGAAAAAAGATGCAATAAAATACATCAATCAAAATATTCCAACAATTTAAAAATGTAAATAAACAATAAAAAATAACCAAACAACAAAGTGAAATCCAAAATTTWAAATTTTGGCAAGGGTAAAATGAGCTCTAAACACCCAAATACTCAARTCATTGAGGTGTAAAGCTAAATCGCCTCYAATGTTTTGTGCATRAAACTTATATATATACTTAGCTTTTATTTTATCAATGCTCCCACATTTTCTAATGCGATCAATCAAAATATAAGCATGAATAGAAATTCAAATTGTTTCCTTTATTTAAGTTGTTTACAAAAGATGATATTRGTCGATCTTTCCAGTGTTTATAAAAATTTTGAGAAGACTAAAAAATAATTTTTGGGTTCCCTGTGGTAAACATTCCCATAACGGTTTTCATTAACTCTTCCCTCAAAAATATTCTTACTTATCTTTTAAAAGAAGCCTGAAGCATTTTAAATATGGGAAATTAAATTGTATTTTATTATTATTTTTTTTTAATTTTAAATTTCTCCCGAGTTTTAAATTTAAAACATCTGTTTGGTTACCCTGTGGTAGAGCCATGGAAGRACCTGGGGAAGACATGACATAACAGATGATCGGAGAGGACAAGTTAAAGAATCTGAGAAGCACTTGACGACGTTCCTTTTGGAAAGATGGCCGACGTGGCGTCTAAAACACAGCCACAAGGAACAGAAAACTACTCTCTAGAAGAGATCGCTCGTCATACCAGCGAAGGAGATGCTTGGCTTGTTCATTCAAGCAAAGTATACGATGTTARTGGGTTTTTGGAACGCCACCCAGGAGGTCAGGATATTCTAGTGAAAAACTGTGGTAAAGATGTGACAGAAATAATGAACTCTGCAGACTTTCATAAGCACAGCAAGATTGCTTACGGGTGGCTGCAGAAATATTACATTGGGAAGGTCAAGGAAGAGGTAGGGAATCGTCTTATRGAATTTTAATCTTGGTTGGGCCGTGTGTGTTTTTTGAAATCTGTTTTGAAAGTTGATGGAACGAATGAGTAGTTTTATTAGCTGTAATTATCTAATCTATAATCGCCATTTAATAATAGATRACTTGCTTAAAACGTAGAAATTGAGAACCATTTTGTGTTTGAAAAGATGAATTAGAAAATATTAGAAGATACCTGGGCAAGTAATAATAAAAGCTTAACTAAAGACGAAACAACACGACTGTCTCTTCCATTTTGGGGCAACTCAATGCATGACCATGTTGCTTTACATTGTGTAGTTTTTCATTCATGGACGTCATGAGTCGGCGTAGAAAATAAACAACGTGTTATGTATATACCACCAACGATTAAGAGTTTTTGATAAATTTTCAGAAAACTTTTTTTCTGCATAMATTTTTGTCTTTGGCTTTCAAAAGTGAATACCTTGAATATTGAAATTAATATTTCCATTGGTATCAGTTTACTTTGTGTTTGTATAACGTTTATAAACCTGCCTTAACAAATTTTTAAAACTGTGATTCTATATAGCAAATTTATCGGCTTCCCAAAAAAAAAAAAAAACATTTTATCAAAGTCAAAATCTAATTTTTTTCTTGCCAGACTGGCAGACTGGAAGGATCCTGATATGCACCATTTTTTTAAAAGCCAGCTATATTATTATGTAATAACATGTGTATTAAAATTATGTGGACAGGCCAGGGCAGTCTGAAGCCTTGTTCCTGAAGTTTAGTCTTTGTTTTTWAAGTCCCCTTACCTATTTCATTCTTGATCGTACAAGTTAATCTTGAAAACATTCAAATACTAAGTTGTTGTAAAGCATTTGTGGAATCACACCATGTTTCCATCAGATTTATTAACTGTTTCATGCTGTTTGAAGATGACACAACTCAAGTTTTGTCAGAGATATATGTTTTTATAGGCAAAGATTTATATGATGGGTGCTCTGCTGTCAACCAGTGCTATGCTGGTTAAATTTGTGGTCGCAATTATTTATCTGTAATGGTTTCTGGCATTTATAATAATTATAAACATATGTAGCTCAGAGTACACACTAGTACACCTTAATTTTGTACCTGTATACTATCAATCTATTGATATTATTAACTTAAGTGTAATATGAAAAGCTATCACTCATTTGTTATGAAAACTTGGTGATTCTAATGCAAAAGATCTGAATTAAGGAACCTTTTCTTTACAGGAGAAGAAACAGATTGACAAAGCTAACCTTGATAATGTGTGTGTTGATGGATGGAGAGAGGTAAGGAAACCTTTCTGTATACATTAGAATTCTATTAACAAGCTTTTACYTCTATTTAGTAGCTAGTTGCAGCTTCCCAGAGAGGGGTTTTGCATTGCTTTTTAGCTTGATTAACTGGCTAATTCACAATGAACATAGGTGTGGCTTAATAAAAGTTTGATTTTATGTGTAATCGAATTTTACAGCTTAAAACATAATATTTTGGTTAATCTTTTTTTGGTGTTTTATTTTAGACATAATTTCATTAAGGTAAAAAATCTTCTAGTCTATCTAGACTATAACCACTCAAGGCTTGAATATTCATTRTGTACATAAATATAAAAGCTCATTAAATTTAACAAAAACTTGGAAATAAAGAGACAGTAAGATTTAAAGTAGTTCAAATCATTAAGTGTCAATGTACGTCAGAAACACTAGGTTTATTTCATATTTTTAAATTACTGGTGCCATATAATAGCATTAAGTATTTTTTGCATATTCCACTTGATATGGTTCATTGATTTAAGAAAGATAGTTTACATTTCAAATTAAGTRGTTTGCCTGTGCACTCAACTGTAACTTTAAAAGCATTTGAAAAGAACCTCAACATAAAAATGCAAAGACATTCATTCACGGTAGTATAATGGATGGATGGTATTTACATTTCTATAAGGAGGAAACTTCACATGTATATTATTTGGCTAAGTTTAAAAAAACTAGTGGAGCACTTCACAGCAGCTATACCAATATAGGGCAAAACAAATGAAATCAATCTCTTTTCATGAAAAATGCATACTCTTAACTCGGACCACAGTGGGGGACTATCTGCTCAAACTCCTCTTTAGGATTAAAACTGGAAAATTAGATGATAAATGTTTACTAAATATATGTATTAATTATATAAAGGCTTTGCACCATCATGTGATGACAGTTAACAGGAGGCACAACAATAGTGTTCCCCCCTGGGAACCTGAATTTTTTTCCAATAATGTAAATCAAGTAAGACCATAGTCAATTTCTCACCTCCTGTCATGGCTGCCATCATGTGATGGTGCAAAGGCATGGCCGGAGGCACAACGATAGTCTTTTTCTCCTGGGAACTTGAATTATTTCTCATGTAAATCAGATTAGAGCTGATTCTATTGTTCCCTCCTCCTGTCATGGCTGCCATCATGTGATGGTGYAAAGTCCCTTTTTTGATGTTCATTTTTCTTATTTTTTCAGGACATGGTTGATTGGAGCAAACCAATGCTTGCTCAAGTTGGAAAGTTAGGTTCTGATTACCTCAAATGGGTCCACTCACCTGTKGACCGACCCCTCCGCCTTTTCCATTCAGATTTTGTAGAATTCTTTTCACGAACGCCATGGTTTTTTGTCCCCCTCATTTGGATCCCAGTGGTTCTCTACACTTCAGTTTTGGGTCTCAATCACCTTAATAAAGAGTATACTAGCCTCTATGAGACTCCATCTTTCCCTGTGGCCCTAGCTGTCTTCTCTTCGTTGTTCATTCTTGGTTGTCTTCTGTGGTCGCTGGTTGAGTATATCCTGCACAGATTTCTGTTCCACCTGCTTCCACCTGCTGACTCGCCATTTTGGATCACATTTCATTTTTTCCTTCATGGCCAGCATCACAAGGTTAATATAWAAGAGAACAAATAATTTTTACATAACAAAATTGAAACCAATGTTTTGTTTTTCGTTTTTTGGAGGATTACATTCTCCAAAGTGATAAAAAAAGAACATCACTAATGATCRTTCTATTTCTCTTATTGTTCATTTGAATCATGCAAATGTTTGTCAAACCACGCTATAGAATATAACGTTGATGCTCATGATTGTATAAACGTGGCTTTGACTGTCCATGTTGCTCTAATTGCATTAATGAATTTACTATTTTTGCTAAATGATTGTCCATGAATGCAATTGTTTGTCAATGGTGTTATTGAAGTTTCATTAAGTGTAAAAGAAAATACATTTCATCTCCATGAATGTCTGTTCATGCTATTGTTTGTCAAGTTGATGCTGTTGAATGTTCRTGTATATTTAAATATCGTTAYTGAAAGCCTATTCAACACTAATGAAGTTTATTGTGACATTAATGAAAGTATGTCCACCTTATTGATGCAACARTCAACATGAATGAAGTATATTTTCTGTTATTGGACAGCAAAAGGTGTAATACTTTAATCTAAAAGTCAGCGCAATATTTATGTCCATGTAACATCTGATCTCTTTTGTTTTCATTAATTTATTCAGGTCCCATTTGATGGAGCCAGGCTTGTGTTTCCACCAGTGGCTGCTTCAGTCTTTGCGATAGGATTCTATGCTTTGTTTAGTTGTACAATGTCCCCTGGCTGTGCTCATGCCATCTTCTCTGGGGGCCTTCTAGGCTATGTTTTCTATGATTGCATACACTACTACCTTCACCATGGCTCGCCTGCTCAAGGTGGCTACTTCTATAACCTCAAAAAATACCATGTTCAACACCACTTTGAAGACCAACAGATGGGTAAGTTAAATCTCTTTGAAACACATATTAATCTATTATAATCATAATCATGATGATTTATGTTATTTTATTAAATAAAATAAATCTTTTTGTTTTCTTCATATGCGGCCAAAATGTTGCCAAGTCCCTCTGACCCGAGGCTAATGCTTATAAATATGTGTACTGTATAGGACACACTTGACTCTCACTTCCACTACAATTAATATTTCTAAGTACACCAGAGAGAAACCCTTAGGGCATGTGATCATGAAGGGAGAGACATCAAACCAAACTCTATTGACACATGGTATTGCAGAATTTCCATCAAACCTGTGACCTGACCCATTTCAGACCACGTCATCCCCTAGAGTGTCATTACTTTGCAAAATGAAAAACACAACTCAGATTCTTGTTCTCAAGAGAATGACACATGGTTTTGAAATGGGACAACATTACATCATACACCCAAGTAAGACCTATTTATTAATGGTTTATTTATTGCTTAATAATGACAGGCTTTGGCATATCCAGCAAGTTATGGGACTATCCATTCCATACGTATCCAAACAAAGACAAAGCAAGTTAATTTGCAAGGAATGTAGTCATGATTGAATAATTTAAGGTAATAATAGTTCCTGTTCACATCATCTTTCTTCTGTGAGATGTATGTTGAAATTAGATTTCTTGTTCATGTGTTGTTGTGGTTACCCAGTCGCCTTTTAGTAAATCACTGTAAAGCAGATATCAATCTAGCCTGCATAGTGGCACTTTGGAGAGGGAAGGAGAAAGGGACTGGGACCGACCTCCACTCCCCTCTACCCAAAGCACTGCTACGCAGGCTAATATAGATCAGTCTTACAAGTTGAAGCTAACAGTACAAACAGTCATGTATTTATCCCACTCTCATATAATTTCATCTAAAATATTTTTATGAAGGAATTGAAATATACCTGCTGGTTGATTAGGAAGCCATGACAACATAACTGCACAGCAAGCAGAGATCTTTTTTCTCTTCCTCCATGAAGGCTGCAGCTAAAATGGAGGGCAAAAATTCCTTAAAGAGGGGTAGTGACACCACCATAAGACAGTATTGTCAAAAATTTGTCCAAGGAAAATCTGCAAGTAGAGTTAATTTTACTTAGTGGTGTTCAACATATTATRTTACTACAGTAGTAATATGATATCCATCATAATTTATGTTATATGCACTCATACACAGCTACGTTATAATTTTATATCATATAAAATCATATATACATTCATCACACTCTTAATTCAGACAGACGAATGAATCTTGTTTCTTTCTTAAAATGAYGTGGTTTTTTTTTAGATATAATCTTTGAAATTTATGAATTTCCTTCAACGTACTATGTACAGAGATTTTTCCAGCAAACAAAAAAATTTGCCAGAGCAGACTTATAATTATTTGTTGTTTAAGAAAAAAATTACTCCATATGAAAAATACTCTCACTGAATCATATCTGTCTTTAGTTGATGCTCTTTGGACAAGTTTTTTGATATAGACTGTTGTCAAAGTTTTTCTCTCATTTCTAAGACTCTGAAACTTATACACCAAACCAACCTATACAATAGAAAATATGGTAATTTTAATGGTTAGCAATCAATAAAATCCAGCAATTGCACATTTAGAATTCACATCTCAAAAAAAAAAAAAAAAAAAAAAAAAAAAAAAAAAAAAAAAAAAAAAAAAAAAAAAAAAGATATCACATAATAATTTAACTTATCACTCAGTATACTGAGCAATAGACTACGGGGACTGTGGAGCAGAGTTTTGATAAATGGGGGGAGGGAATAGTTATCACAAATCACACGACTTGTTTCAGTTTTAAGATATTTTTAAGGGCGAGGGGGGAGAAGTATATATTCTCCACAGTCCTGCCCTGTCCACAGTCCCTGGACTTAACATATTTATAAAGGTTCAAAATTACGGGAACACTTTCATCACACAGCATGCAACACTATATTACAYGTAATTTTAGTTTCTTAACGTAATTAACTGTCACAGGTACAGATTTGGAAAATAGTTTTAATTGGTGAAGTTTCCTCTTTTACATTTTTTATTTTGTTAATGAACTGCAGTCCATGAACATTTCAATCAAACCTCCAAAAGGTTGATTACCAGAAGTCAATATTCATTTGAAGTAAATACTTAAGTGTAGGACTTCAGGTGCGCTGCCGTAACTAATAAAATGACAAGAGGTGTAAACTACAATAAGTGGACAATATAATCTAGGAATGTATTCAATAATTCATATCTATAGGGGTAGCAAGTCACATATTTGTAAGATATATATTTATTAATTGTCGATGACTAGCACAATTCAACTGGGGTTTAAAWTCAAGTGAAACTATTGAATGTGTGTAATTGCACTGCAATAGAAATAAAAGTTTAACAGTAAGAACGCTTTGTTGTTTAGTGACTACTGTGCAGAATTAGTTTGAAAACTAGTGGCCGTTCCGAGGTTGAGGAACAAAATTAGGTGAAATTGGCATCACAGTGCATTGAGGGACAGTTTTAGGGGACATCCAATATGGCGTCTATTTTGTCTCATAAAACAGTCCCGCAATGCAATGTATTGTCAATTTCATTTTTTGGACTTATTTAACTATTCAGCAACAATGCGCGAAAAGAATTTCATTCTTTTGACTTATTTAACTATTCAGAAAGGTTGTGCGCTACAAATTTTATTGTTTGAACTTATTTAACCATTCAGCGACGTTGCGCGCTACGAATTTCATTTTTTGAACTTATTTAACCATTCAACAACGTTGCGCGCAACAAATTTCATCGTGTGAACTCCTCTGTAATGTTTCGTTGCCCCTACAGTATCTACGACATTACGCGCAACAATTTCATGTCTTGAACGTATCTATAACTCTGCAACGTTGCGCGCAAGAAGTTTCATTGCGTGAATTTGTGCGCAACAAGTTTAATCGTGTGTACTCATCTGCAACTCGACAACGTTGCGCGCAACAACTTTCATAGTTTGAACTTATCTAACGACTCAGCAACGTTGYGCACGAGTTTCATCGTGTGAACTCCTTTGCGGCATTACGTGAAACAAATTTAGTAGTCTCTTACGCGAAAGAATTATCATCTTTTGAACTTATCGAACAGCTCGATTAGCAGCAAATTACGCGCAAGAAATTTCATGTCAGAGTCTGCAGCGCTAATGACAAATGACTTGCGGTTCTCACCCTATGACGTTATTTTTTGCGTACCTCTGGCCACAGACTTGGGTGGAATTTCCTCATGTATGGTTTCCTACATGTCAAGTTCCGTCACCAGCAACTTTGAACGCAAGCGCTGAACTCTGTTGCGAGTCTTCATTAACGTGCAATATAAAGTAACATTTCAGCTGTAACACGGTAATAGATTAAATCGTGTGGGCCGCCTCCGTAACATTGGGCGTAATGGAAATGGAGTGTTATTCTCACCCAGCGACATGCGAGTTCTTATTGTCCTATGCAGAATTTGGCCGAGTAGAGTTTATTATTATCGTTTCGTTATGGAGAAAATTGTTACCTGTTATGTCCCTCGAAATATCTTTCAACAACAACGTTGCACGACAATGATGCATATGACTATAATTACCTTTACCGACCCGTAATTTTATTTAACACTTCGCCACCCACCCTCTGCTGGTTTATGGAGAAATGCAAATTCCAATAGTTTTATTTCTAAATCATGTAGCAGAAGTTTATTTCTTAGAAAACGAATTATTATTCCGCTTATACACTCGATGTAGCATACACTTAACACATACATCTTTAACGAGTGACAAAAACACATTTCATAGGAAAAATATTATTTTGCTAAGAGATACTTTAACTGGGGCAAAATATAACAAATATATTTTCAAAATCTTCTTTATAAAACATGTTAAGACATCTACATTACAAAATATGTAGTGGAGTCCTTATTAAGTCAATTATATACTGACTACTATATACAGGTATTTCAGAAGGATTTTCTATTTCCTGAACAGTAAAGCATCGAATAATGAGCGAAGATAGAGCAGTTTTCGTATGAGTGGGATACGATACGACAAATTGGTAGCGGTACCGTATCTTACCGTAGTCGCAACTACGCGTTGTGATTGGGTGAATTACTAAAAGACAATGGGAAGCCATTTTAATGCAAGGTAGTAGACACTCATTCAATATTTTCACTTTCACTGTTAGAGACTAATCATACAATAATGGAAATCAATAGATACTGTGCCATTTGGACCGTTTTAAAATAGTACTGTTTCGCAGATATAGTATTTGTGCCCTGTTACTCACTTTTGAGTAAAATCTAAAAAGAAAGAAAGACAGTAATAATAAAATGATAATAAAAACATAGAAACGACAGAAAAGAAACAAGGAAAGGAAAGGAAGGCAAGGAGAGGAAAGGAAAAAGAAAAAATGGTTTAAAAAAATGATCATTATTCGATGCTTCTGTTCATTGGTCAGGCATTTTCTCGAATGTACAAAATTATAATTCTAAATATATATACATATTTCTAATCGAAAACGTCACTATATCTATGAACAGCTAATTCTCTTAAAGTGAAGGCATGTTCCACTTCAATCCCACTAATTTTCTGAACAGTTGCGAGTCTTTTCTCGGCATCTTTTTTTTCTTTTCCCAACCTCCAGCACAACTCAATCCTCGTATTTAAAAGTGGAATCAAATATGAACTGGAGACATTGCTGCCAATCAACTCTAGGGCAGCTTCGGCATACTGCTCAGCTTCCTTAAAGCGGGCAATTTTGTCATAAGCCACTACCATACTCCCTAACGTAGCTACTATTTCTGGTATCCCGTCTCCAAGCTTTTGCTGAAGGTGTAAAGAGTTCGTAAGAAGTCTTAAACTGTCGGTCCATTTTCCTCCACGAATATCGGAGCATGCTTGTCTCAAATCAGGAAGATAAAAAAATTCTTTGAAAGCAGTAGCATTACGCACGCTATCATTTGTATAGATGTAAGATAAAAACTTCTCAAATGCGCGGCATCTCGACTGAATGACTTCACCATCAAAGTTCTTTGACCCGTAAACTTTTTTAGGAAGTCGTACTTTGGAAATCAACTCTGGGCACACTTTCTTGAGTTCTTTGCAGAGATTTGTGAATTCAGAATAACGTCTTTCGACTACTGCTTTATCGCTGTCCAGGCCGTCTGTTTTCACTACCATGATAGAGTAGAGCTACGAAAGTAAAAGAAAGCGAGTCAAAGAAAAGGAATGTAAAAATGCCTCAACGATGCGGTACCCAAACAGCAAAAATCCAACTACCCGCCCAATTCTCTCTATTTTATCCTCTGCTTAATTTCTATTCTATTTGAATACCATTACTGGCCAAGGTTAACCTTGACCTGGTGTTCCAAGAAATGCGTTTGTCCATGAATAGATATAGAAATGGAGGTAAAGACAACGGAAACTTGTTGTTTGGCCGCAACCCTAGCGCTTTTGTCTCTCTGCCTTTTTGAAAATGTTGCTCAAATGTGCAAGTATTATACTGTTTTTGGCATAATTTTCTAGAGTGTGTTTGACCTTGGCCTTCAGCAAGTTGAGTGCAAATCACCTTGGGTTGACTCACACCTATTTTATTCTGCTGACTTAGCCTCAAGGACATTGCTTTCAAGGAAGTATGAAACGTTCAATTAAAAAATATCTAAAACTTGACTGAACTCTGTTTAGTCTACAAGATTTTGGTTCACTCTTTAAGGTCACTAGGAAATAATAATATAATAATGATAATATARCATTTATGTAGCGTCTATCCAAATCTGTTCTAGGCGCTTYACAACACAAACAAACCGTGGTAGATTTAGAGCTTACATACATCCTTGTTTCATAAATTCTAAATGAATTAGTAATTTTATTAAGTCAAACGTCTCACTACAATATGACTTCATGTATCGTAATTTCTCATACAGGGAGGGATGAGCACCATATTGAAGGGGGGGGGGGGCTAAGGAGCATTTTTTTAAGAGGGGAGGGGGCTAATATTATTAACTGATTTCCTCTACTTTTCTGTGGTATGTCCTCTTTATCTAGCCATCAAAATGTTGTGGACTCACGACGCGTATCTAAGGAAAYTGTTTTTTTACCACAGAAAATTAAAAATAATTATTTTACTGCGAAAACRAGGGTAAAATTTGAAATAAAAACAGTTTCAAGTGTGCACATGTTTTGCTGACATAATTTATCGTAATTTATGTCCTGCTATCTCCCCCGGCTCTAGACCAATCAGAAAGCGAGAAAATCCACAAATGTGGTAAAATCTCAATTTTTTATCAAAAAAGAAATCAAACTTACTAGATAAAATAATGTGTTATTCTTGTAAAAAAAATGAAGGGAGGGCAGGGCTTTTGAATCTTAACTTTGATGATTTAACCTTTTGAACATTACAAAGATAATATTAACATATATACTCACAACATATTTGTTGCGGCCTTCCTCACAAACCCTCGTTGAGACAATTTCAAACCTGACTTTTGGTCTGAGATCTTGACTAAGTTTGCTTATACTAAAGCCTCTTGAAATACTATCGACAGGGAAATCYAGTTCATCTACATCACTGCTCTCATCCTCTTCCTCAAAAACAACTGAATATGACAGAAAATAAAGAAAGCAAGTTAGACATCATATCCAACATGGACCATGTTGCCTTACAGTATGAATAGATTTAAATTTTTGATTAAAAAAGCTATTAAAAAACAAAACTGGTGCAGCTTTTTTATTATAATTCAGGTTCTCTCATAATATGAACTTCACAGGTTTTTATGTCTAGTTGTTATAACTTTCACATCAGACTCAAGTAAAGCTACCTTTGTAAGTAGAACAACCCAATTATTAAATAAGGTAATGTAACAGAAATGTTTAATGTACACTGAATTATTTTTTCCTGTCATACCTAACAGCTTCAAGGCCTAGTTAGGCTTTAGTCAGCACRTAAGGCACCTATTTTTTATAACAAAAAGTTGTAAATTAACTGTCACCCGGTCAGCTCAGTAAGGTAAGACTTTGGATCTGTTGTGCGGGAGGTCGTGSTTCAAGCCTTGACCAGACCAACAATTAGGGTCTTAAAATAACTGAGGAGAAGGTGCTGCCTTTGTAATTACAAATGGTTTGACCTTCATGTGGCTCGAATGACTGTGGCTGTCCCTTCCCTAATTAATTAGAGGGATTTTAAAAACAACAACRACACTTAAAAAAGAGGACCACAAATTTATCCGTTGAATTACTGTTAAGAGCTATCATGACCTTGGTCGAGTATGTCTTCCCAAAGTGTCAAAGAAACATGAATATGAATACAACTCAAACAAAATCTGAAGTGAACAACACATGGTATGAACTGAGAAAATATAACGGTCATAAAAACCCAAGGTAAATGGGTCTATTCTGGGTAACATACAGTACTAGTCAATAATGGTTTGAAGCAAATATCAGAATTGTAGTAAGCAAAAATGTTAGCAAACAGACATGAATAGTGCCCAATAATCATTCATAAATATACCTACATGCAAAATGGGACCTAAGTTCCATGATGTATAATAGTCACTGCACGATCAAGTATAATTCTTTTTTGTTGTGAAATTGTATATAAGTCTTATTACAACTGCCAAATCATGTAAACATGATCAAAGAAACTGAAAGCATGGTTTCAATTTCCTTATAAGAGTATTCTCAAATGTACAGCTCAATGTAATCTTTTTAATTGTGACACAATATTTATCCAAATATGGTGTCAGCTATTAAAATGTGAAATATATAGAGTTCAAGGGAAAATCAGATTATGAATGTTCCAACTTTAACTCCATTTTATTTTAATGTAATTATCAAATTCAAATACTTCCAAAAATATGTAATATGCCAAAAAGGAATATTATTTTCAAGGTTAATTATGGGCTCAAGGRAAAAAAATCAGATAAAATGTTCACATTTAAAAGTATTATGCACTYAAGGGACCAAAGAAAGTGTATGTATTATAAACAGGGTGTTATTAAAACAAATATATAGGAAATTCAGGGAAATTCAGAGAAATTATGAGAAATTTTGTGAACTCCACTAGTTGAGACTCTTAGCCACTGCATGAGCTAAGTCTAAGGTTTGACTATGGTTGTGCAAAGCCACCAACTGATTAGCTTAACTGGTAAGAGCATCTGTCTTTTATATGGAGATAGAGGTTCAAGTCCCAGCCAGACCAACACTCAGGGTCTTAAAATACTAGTAACTGAGGAGAAGGTAGAAGATGTCTGTTATATGGAGATAGAGGTTTGAGTCCCTGCCAGACCAACACTCAGGGTCTTAAAATATTAGTAACTGAGGAGAAGATAGCAGGTGTCTGTTATATGGAGATAGAAGTTTGAGTCCGGGCCAGACCAACACTCAGGGTCTTAAAATACTAGTAACTGAGAAGAAGGTAACAGGTGTCTATCCCTAGCAGGTCGACCTCCTTAGGGGCGATCCTAAAAATCCTTTGTGGGGAGAATTTTTTAGGGCTGCCCATGAACATTCCTGCAAAGGATAATCTAATCAACTAGTGTTATCTTCTGTATTATTAAAAACATTTTCAGACATGATAATCATATATGAAAATAAGCTGATTTTTATAAATTATTTTTATTAATTATTTATATAGTGACATTAAACTTTATCTTGCCACCATGTCCTGGCAGGTTAGCACTCATTCACATCTGCCAAAAGGACTTAAAACAAATCTATTGTGTTAAAATGCCTTGTTCTATTGTTTTATAATTCAGAAGCTCCTTTTGGCCAATGTGAATGAAAGCTAACCGTCTTGGCATAATCAATGGACTGACACCAATAAGCAGAAAATACTGGGATGGATTGCATCCAGGATTTTTACTAAAAAAGATGGTTCAAACAAGTGAACGGAACCAAAAAAGGCCTGTAGTTAAATGAATAAAAAAAAATCTAATTAGGGGGTTTGTATAGTTTTCATTTAGGGGGTTCTATTTTTATCAGCATTATTTATTATTATTATTATTATTTATTATTATTATCTAATAATATTGTTATTATCATTATTTTATTATTATTGCTATTGTCATTATTTTATCATTATTGCTATTATTTTTTTTATCATCTCATACTATTGCTATAATTATYATTATTAGCAACGTAAAATATGCTATACCCCAATAAGTAGACTACTAACTTGTTAGTAGTAAAATATTTTAGAGATGATGTAATAACAGCAACCAAACTATTGTCTATCAAACGTCTGAGAATGTTAATTCAAATTTAGACATCAATTAAAATAGTTGAGAGTCATATTATTTAGAAGAATATTTCTAAAAAAGAAATAAAAAGATAGTAAGCAAATATCTATCGGACTGTWGTAAAAATTCAACTAATTTATCCGTCGCTGGCTATGGATTTTAGTTACTACAAGTCAAACAAGGTTAAGAACATCTAATATTCGTGCAATGGTTTCCATGCAATACTACGATAAATAATCACACCAAAAATTGTTTACACACAAGAGAATTCAACGACATAGTTATGAAAGAAGAAAGTAAGAAGGGATGGAATAAAAGATATTGCTAAAATCAGATAATAAAAGCATGAAATATAAAACGACGATAGGTACCAAGCTGATTACGAAACTATTCATATTGTGGATGTTGCATATGGCATGTCAGAGCCCGTCAAAATTTAAAAAAATAAATAAATAGATTCTCGAAGATTCTACACTGTACCAACCTTCTCCTTTATTCGGCTGTGAAGGTGAGTATCCATCCTCCTTTATCATAACTAATCTGCCATTAAACATCATAGTTGAAGGTAGACTGTCCAAGTCATCACACGAACCAAGCTCTTTATCCAGCTCCTCAGCATCCGTTGGAGGAGATAATTTCTCTAAAAGTTTTGAAGACATATGTAGCAAGCTTGGTTTTTAAGCGTTGGCGTAGTTACGAGCTTGTCAAGAGCAAAAATCATTCATGTTCAGCATTATTTCCCCGGAATTTTTCGACAGGATGCCAATCGACGCCATTCGACGCCATGTTTATTTTTTGACGCCTTCGACAGGAATGCATGATGGGTATCGAGGAACGGGTATCGAGGAACGGGTATCGAGGACATCAAGCGTCGGTTAAAAATAATCAGTTTGACACGCATTCAGTCTCACAAAAAAATTAAAGATTCATGATCTTTATGGCATTACTTTTTAATAGGATTTAGGAAAAAAGACTAGAATTATCTAGAGTGTAAATCACGAGCTTTATCAGCTTGGAAATTGGAACGGGAATGCCATATGTGAGAAAAGCTGTGAATAAAGCGAATCGAAGATACGATTTCATCTACTTTTAATGGAATAAAACCTGAGACAAGATTACAACTTATTCCTTTCTTACCCCTTTACCTTATTATTTTTAAGAAACCCATAGTTTCGATGACGCGCGTCGTCAGAAGACAGTTGCCATGGCAATATGTTATGCCTTATAACTCCTGATGACGTATATTAGATATTATCCCGGTTTAAAAAACTTGTTTCCAGTATTTACTTACGTATTCCATCAAAATTCTTATGTTACCAAGGGATTTTTGAACATTTCTAAAAATTAAATGTATAATGTAGAAACGCTTTCTTTTTCGATTCGTTGATTCTCTCGACCACTAACCAAATATGTTTGCATTCATTATGAGGCTTTATCAAGTTTGTTCGAAAATCGTGCACTAAACCTCGAATTACCATCACGAGGAGATTTTGAAATTAGATATCGAAGAGATATTTATGAGAGAATAAAATGATATTACAGAATCCGTCAAGGTATATTTTAATGTGGTTTTATTCAGKTTTTTCCCTCAGTACGCACCGGAAATAGATTGTGTTTTGTTTTGATTTTTATGTAAATAAGAAGGAAAATTACTTGATCACGTGCTGATTAACATTTATGACATAATAGCTCCTTATTTGGCAACCGGAACTAAATTTGATTGGTTTATCACTCGGCTTGACGGACTTTGACAGAATGTCAACATAAACACAAGAGTTTTCCCAAATTTTTATTTCGCAGTTGAAAAGAAAGTCGTAATCACTAATTTTTTGGCGCTTAGATATCGCCCAAAGCTTAACAATTTCGCTGTTTTTTCGTTTCAAGCTGATAGAACGCAAGAAAAGGAAGCCCTTCTTTTAAACAATTCATTAATTTTTAGTGCATCGTAAAGAAAATCGAGCGAAATAGCTCCCTACATAATCTCGCCCATCACAAGCCAAGAATAGCAAGGCAAGCAAGCTTTCTTGTCAACGGATTTTGGCGGACTTTTTAGCCAAATAAACATCATCGTTAGGATCTACGAAACACTCGTTTAACTCTACTCAAAGGTGAGTGCCCGCAAGCCTTAACTGAAACAAGTATTTTTAGATCTTTGGATTTCGTGCACCAAATTTTTTTTTTGTACGTACGTATGTTTTCAGCTGTTTGCATTGTGTATACGAAGTAACGCTAGTTGTTATGCAGAACCTTGATCGGATGTGTTCTTTATTCCTTCTATAGGTTTGATTATTTCGAGTAAAAGCGACCAATAATCATGTTTTCAAGTCTTACTAGTTATTTTTGGGGGGAGCAAGATGACCAAGTTGTTCACGATTGCCCTGTGAACATCGAAGACAACAGGTCGGAAGAAGGATGGATTTTGGTCGACTTGGCTTCTGTTGAAAAGCCTAAAGGTACAATTTAAGCCAGAATTAACAGTAATTATAATAAAAATGTTACTTGTATTCTTCATCATAAAAAAATTTAAAATAATATTATCTCCAATATTATATTTCGTTGTCACGGTCCTTCGCCCTTGACATTGTTTTCACCACCATTACATCACTCCCGGATTTCATCAGATCATATTCCAAACTCGTAAGTAGAAAAAAGTTCGGATAATCACATTTTTTTTCAATTTCAGACCAAGTCCAGCGTGAAAAAGATGCTGTGGCGGTTCCAGAAAGCGTCGAAGAAAGCTGGTATGTTACCCCGCCATCTTGCTTCGATGCAGGAGACATTTCTGGGGCGAACCTCGAAACTAATCCCTTGGAAAACCTCCTTATTGAACACCCTAGCATGTCTGTTTACGGCCCTCGCTCAACGATATCTTCTACCACTCAAGCCTCTAGCTCCTCATCAAGAGAGGCTAGCCAGCAAGCTGACCACGAACAAGCTGTAGAACGCAGGTCTGCTCGTCGCTCTGTGCGCTTTCAGGAACAGCTGGAGCTCATCTCCAAACGTAAGCTTGTAGAACAGCCGAAAAAGGGGTCAACTAGGCCTAACGCAAAGAATATGAAAAGACAAAACAARGTTGAACACCACACTTCGCGTTCTAGGAGGACGAAAAAGAGGGACAGAATGGTTGGTAAACATATAGGAATGCATGGAAAAAGAGGAGGCTAAGATGTGATTATGAGGATGAAGTGAATGTGTGGGAGCAAAGTCCAAACTTTGAATATGCAACAAAAACTATTTATATTTTCTTTAGCAAATCAATCCTGAACTTAGGTAGCTTTTTTCTAAAATTAATACTGTACATAAATTAGTGCACTACTTGAAATTTTCTGAGCTGTTTTTTCGGTGTCAGAATTTCTTGATTAGAAGTTGATACAGTTAGATAGGTGTTTCTAGTAATAAATGCGAGATGAATACCTTGCGGTTTTAAAATTTCAAAAAGAAAAAAAAAATTACAAAGACGTTTGATCATACGGTATTTCTGAATTTTACTTGTATGAATTCACTTTCCTTGGAAGAGTGTTCAAGAATGTTCTAATTTAACGAACTGTGATGTAACTTGTGTTGGACCGGCAATGACGACCTTAACAGAAAGACCAAAAAAAAAGGAAAAAAATCAGCTATAATTTATTATTCACAAAAAACTAAAAAAAGTATTATGAATACTGTCAATATAATTACCATCGAACTATATAAGTGCATTCTTAATTATGTGCACGGTAAGATATGATATTGAATACAGTCTGAAATTGACAGCAATAAAAATATGTTTCTATAAAAAGAACTGTGTTGGTTTGTGTGTTAATGGGATTTTCCACCTGTGTCCGGCCTGTGTCAATAACCCTGCTGTCGGCATTTATTATGTAATGTTATTTGATTTTCTCTCCTCTAAATATAACACATTGGTTGGCTGTGGGTCTATAAATTTCCTAACATACTGGATTGCATAATTGGCCTTTGAATAATTTAATGCGGAAAAAAAATGTGTGGTACTTCCAAGGTCTGGTGCCCATCCACTACGATATCAATTCACGGTACTTTATATACAGGAAAAATTGGCCTTCAAATGAAGCTAAAAGAGTATGCTGAAAGATATAACTGTAAAGAAGCCGAGTATCTTAACTTCCGTACGCGTCCGGTAATATGGCTTATGATTTACCAGGCCGAATGAAAAGCCATATATTTATCCACCGGTATTTAAATGACTCGTAATCGTACTAATGTACGTATCCAGTAACCAATGAAAGCTGTAGTCGTCGATTGTTTCTAACCGGGCCGTGAAAAACATCGCAAAATGAATATCCGTTTAATTTTTAATGTCAACGTTCGACTTCAACACGTATGTAAAAATTATTCAGTAAATCTAAAAACATCCGATATTATATTACTACTGAGGGTCTGTGGTGCAATTTTACTTGAAATGTAATAATTCTTTATGTTGGGGTATCGGTTTCTCTCGTTATCTATTTTTGCTCGGTTCGCACTGTAAGTTAAGAAGRGCGTGGCCAATCCTAGACGCAAAATATTGCTAACACACCGCGGATTCGGAAACTTTTAAATAGGCCAGTTTCTAGAGTTAAGAAGTAATTATTTAAGAATTGTCATTTTGACTATTAAATTGTCTTAACGGTACTTATTATTTTCCCATCATGATAAGTGGTTTGGAATGCGCGTGCTCGGGTCAAATATAGATTGGTGAAAAACGGATTTAACAATTGGTTATTGAAGCACTTAGCATTAATGGCAAACACTTATCCTGAGTGAATGTCTCTCCACAAAACCAGAACACTAAAACTTATCATACATTTTTATTCCCCAAAATTTTATTCTCTTCTGCATGCTTTACCAAGAATATAAATATTTCATCAAATTTATAGTTTATATATTAAAAAATGCACTTACTGAAACCGTAGAGTGCATRTAATATATCCGTTAAAAACATTATAAAAAATTGCAGATTTGCACAAGTAAGTTCAGTAGATCGTAGACCTACAAAACTTTGCACCAATATTAATTCGTACAATACAATTTTGTTAGTTAACTTTTACACAGATATATTGTATGCACTCTAATACTACCATGCTATTGCACTCTATTGAGTAAAGTGAATTGTACAGCATTTAGCTCTTGCATGATGACAGTCTTACCGTTTATTCTTTTCTTAGTGCAATTTATCTTCACTGTTTTCATCGCTATGTGCTGATCAAGACAACAGTTGCAATGTCAGGAAATACATTGCCATCGATCAGAGTAATGTAAAAAGGTACTGAACAATTTATTTGATTGATGGTAGCCTGTTGCTTGATTTCCCTGTCACAACCGTTGTCTTAATCATTGCAGTTCTGTGATGGCTCGTGACTGCCTGTGTGAGGATACTGTATTTTCTATATCTGCCCATGGCAAGGTGTACTGTACATCATCCTTGCGTTCATGGGATAATGAATAGTTAATCAGGAACAAAATTGCTAAAAACAGATTTTCCCTATCCGAACCTTCTGATTCGTAAATTACTTCTATATCTTTTCTGCCATAAATTCCCTTTCCCAGATGCATATATTATACTTTTACATAGATACTTTTCTTTGATAAGCAGGTTATAACAGGAAAGACATAGCCAAAGGCTGATGTTTTTAATTTCCACTGCAATCCCCCTTACTAAACATTTTGATTGTAAGAAAAAAATTAATTATTAAATATGTTACTTATTAAATATTATTTTTATGTTTAAAGTCAAGTATTGCTGGCTTCTAAAACCCTAAGATAAATAATTCCAAGATCTTGGAAAAAAATTTAAAACTCAATCAATAAATAAAAAATTATCTGATAAAAATTGAAGAATATATTATTAGTACTAAGTGTAATGTCATAAAATTTACGGGTAAGTAGTTTTCAGTATGTATTTATAAGTAGATATATACTCACTAATATATAATAACTTATTCTATATAATAAAAAGTGTTATTTTAAATGTTACCCTAAGATTGTTTTCTTGTAGCTGGGCACAATCAAATAGACATTGGTATTTCGTTTACACCCAGATTCAAACAATAGCATAATTCTTTGGTTCAAAGCTCTCTACATTAATTTTTACCAAGATAGTGAATCTGATTAATAATCTGGTCTAGCTTGGGTTCAGATAGGTGCCTATCTCAATAAATACTAAAATGTATGAAGACAAAAATAATGTCAAGAGTATAAGAATAGTTCTTTAAAAAATGATGTATTTTAGGTTATTTTCTTGGAAAACCAGTCATTTGATACTGGTATTTTAAGTATGCCATCTAATATAAATATTTATATTTTTGATACATTCCTAGTATACAATGATGCATCTGAAACAGCAAACAGCTATTATATAATAACTTATCTACTTTCTCATTCTTTCCACCTTGGCCATGAAGCTCTTGACCCTGTCAAAACTGACAGGTTTGGACCAATGGCCATCTTCCTTGAAATGCGACCCTATTATCATGGCATTAGCACTTAGATATTGGTCCACATTACTGATATCCACCCCAGATCCTATTATTATTGGCACAGACACTGCCTCATGTACTGCTAACATCTCCTTGTAGCTTGCTGGGGATCCTGTAGAGATACCAGTTATGACAACTCCATCAGACTGGAAGAACTCAGCTGCTTTTGCCATCTCTACAACATCAATGTCTCTTGTCAAGGCATGGGAACTGAAAATCAAGAGTCAAGAGATTCACATACCTATGCAGTATCAAAACGTAGCTCAGTGTGACTTCAAGCCATCAGATTTCAATTATATTTTATGAATTGTGCTTTATGAAATTTAGTCTAGAAAAGGAAATTTGAAAAATCTTGGTYAATAAGTGTGGTCCTTGAATCTATTTTCAATTACCACTTACCGTGATGCATCACAATTTGTTTACATTTTGAATCGTGTCACCACTGAAAAAACAATTCCAACATTTTGAATAAACTCTTAGATAGTCCCTAAGGCCGTAAAAGAATGTTAATGAATAGTTATTGTGCCTTAGTGCTATGTCGGAAAAGGATTTAATATGAAGTTATTATTCAATATATGAATCTTTGAATTTCATGGACCACGAAATTCATCTGTGACCGCGGTGCATCACGGTAAGTGGCAATGGGTCTTTAAAAGCGGCTAATTCTGAAAGGATGATTAGGATTAATAGACTTTTTCTGAGATAACGAGGATGATGCATTATGGTCTAGCTTACAGTAGGTACAAACATCTTTCATTCATCATGCCTTATATGTTGTTGTTTTGCAGAAGCTATAGAGCCTAATATATCATTTTTGGCTATTGTGATCAATCCCCACTGTAGGATAAGGTGTCGGCAAGCAGTTGGCCGGCCACTTACCGACACCTTCCCATCATCTTACCGACAACCAGATTTCAAATATAGTGTAGAGTATAGAAGTCAAATACAGTGATTTATGAAATTGAACTCTTGGTAAACACATTATAATCTAAGAAAAATCAAGCAGTTAGAATACCTTCTATATCTAAAACTCCTAAAAACTTTGATAAGATATGAAAGTCTGTTTTTGTGGCTGATAAAGAAATAGCAAATGGCAGTTTTGTTAAAATTAGTGATCAAGAGTAAATGTTGTAAATTATTGAACTCTAAAAAGGCCTATATTT